GAGTTAGCTCAGCAGGTTAGAGCACCGTGCTGGTAATGCTGAGGTCATCGGTTCAAATCCCGTACTGGTCACTTTGTGTCTAAGGTCTTTCAGACAATCAACACTTCAAAATAAATAAGGGTTCAAAAATAAAAGCAACACTTCACAATTAAAAAATGGTTCAAAAATAAAAGCAACACTTCACAATTAAAAAATGGTTCAAAAATAAAATCAAAACCACAATAAATAAGGTTTCAAAAATAAAATCAACACTAAAATAAAAAATGGTTCAAAAACAAATTCAACACTTTAAAATAAATCAATGGTATGATTGTAACTGTTCCTGTCTGTTCAGTCCATAAACTAAGCCTGGGATCAAAAAATGTATTGAAGTCATTTCACTTTTGGTTGAAATGGGGCGTTAAATTCAAGTCTCCATTACAGACCAGAGAAAACTAAAGAGAAATCAACGTTGTGTTAATCCATTTGAGGAGCCGGCAGTTTATCTTGAGGAAATAAATGACGATGGAGAAGTTAATTAGACTGTAACATGCGCAGTCCGCTGCTCAACCACTGCGGACTGCGAAGACTGAGGAACCGCTGGAAGTAACTCATCCAGCGGATTTAACAAATGGAGCCTTCTGGGTTCACGTTACCCAGGAGAGCGGCGCTCTGGAGGAGCTGCAGACGTAACATCTGTCCGTTTCGGAGAAGCGAAACCACGAAAAACAAAAAAATAAAAATCCTGGTAAAAGCGCACACCGGACCGCACAGGGTAAAGCACTCACAGAGTTCAGTTGATCTGTTTGGATCAGACAGATCCAACTGACTGATGAATTAGCGCAGATTTTTCTGCAGATGGGAACCAGGAGGAAGTGTGTTCAGACCCCAGCGGGTGAAGTGATGCTAATTTAAGTGAAGTCGCTCAATTTAATTTATTAAAAGTTATTGGGGTGGTTTTTGTCACTACGAGGAAAATGTAGATGCATTTATCTGCTTAATCTGTGATGGGATCTGGATTCACGGTGAATATTAACTAAACCGCATAAAATGCGACTAAACAGTCGATGTTAATATGATTGTAATTTCACGGATAAAAATAGTACATGACCGATTGTTTGTTTTTATGTTGTCGGTCAAGATAAGGATAACAAAAATAGTCTAGCTCGACCTGCCGCCCTGACACCAACTCACACACATCTTCATTCACATTCTTACTTGTAAATCCATTTTTCTTTTCTTGGACGTTTTGATGTTAGCTTGTCCATGTCTCAGTTTTATTCGCTGGGAAAATCAATAAGTAGCTTGAGGTGACTCTGCTGCTCTCTAGTAGCGAGAAGCCGTAATGTTGGCTGGTAACAATCGGAATGCATTATGGGAGATGTAGTTTGTAGTCAATTCATGCTCAAAACGTATTTTAAGTCAATCATCGGCCTATAAAATGCTGGGGGTGTGTGTCGGGGGGCACATAAAATGACATGGCGGGCCACATGTGGCCCGCGGGCCTTGAGTTTGACACGTGTGTTAGAGCGTAGAGCTAGCATGACAGCAGCGTTAGCTGCAACAGACCCAACACGTAGTTTGAAAAGTAGCTTTCTGTTTTATAACAAATATATATTTTTCAGAAAGACTGACATGTTAAACTGGCTGTTTCATAAAAGATTTTTGCAAATAAGCATTAAACTGACTTATTGCACTATTTTTGTCATTTTTAGCAAGCATTTTAAAAAGTCAGAAATATTCAAAATTGCTGGAAAAGACCAGTTTAAGCGTTGACTAATAGCTGTAATACATTTCTATCCAATAGCTTGCAGCATCAAGCTACTTTAGGTGGGATTTTTTTGATGCACTGTTCAGCCCAAATATACAAACTGCTTCTTTTCGAACAACTACAAACAAAACATCAGCACTGATGTGAGAACACAATGACGTAACGGATAACCTGCTTTTATCACTGTTGTAGACGCCATGGTGGTGGAGGACATTGTTTTACACAGACATGTTTAACAATGAAAACAGTAAAATAGGTTAAGGGTGTGGCTATTTAAAAAGAACAAGATCTCTGAGATTACAGTTAAAAATACTTTGCCTCATTGTCTGACATTGGGCTGTCATTTTGATGATCGCTCTCCAGCTGGACAAACCAGTCGTCAAGAGGCTTCCTCTGCCATGTTTTCTAGCTTCTCAGGTGTAAGACTTTCTGGACCACAGGTGAGGTAAGACTCAGAGAGTAACCTTAAATTTCTGAATCAGGTTTAGGCTTTAGATTATTTCTGTGTGTTTTGGATTAATACTTGGAACATCTGCATCTTGTTTGGTAATAAAAACCCTTCAGAGAGCAGAAGTAGATCACACCGCACAACATGTTTTCTCTAGACAAAGAGTATTTTACTTTGTAGAAACATTTCAGTAGTTACAACCCAACACATTTAAAACTATAAACTAAAACAAACCGCATTTTTTAAACTCTTTTATGCAAAAACGCAGCCATGCTGGGTATTAAGTATCCAAAAGCGGCCCAAACCAACCCCTGTGAAAATGTTTCCCACAAACCCAACAACTGTTTGTGCCAACTACCCTCAAAGGGTAATTATGTTTTCGAATAAAGCCAGGTTGGTTTGGGTTGCTTCTTTTAAAAACATTAAACTGCTGAAAACTGATGTTTTTCTTTTTACCTCATCTGATGTTAACATTTGTTAGGTTATCTGAAACATTAAAGAGACAACAGAACAAAAAGTAAGCTCCATTATGTTCTCTAAAAATATAAAGTGTGTATGCCATTTATTGAGTTAGTCTGCGTCATGTTGAGTAAAATGTATTTAGAAACTCAGGGCTGTTATTTCCTTTTTATTTCCTTTTGTCAGGAGCTGCAGACATGTCTGCCGACGTTCAGGCAGCCCAACCCCGGGCGTTCACCATGACCTCTGCGTCCAAGCAGTGGTCCTCTGGCATCTGTGACTGCTGCCAGGACCGCTCGCTCTGTGAGTACGAGTCAATAAGAACAACCTCTAGCTCAGCATGTTGAACAAGCTGAAGATTTTAGAGCCTTAAAACCCATAAACAGAATATAAACAGAACGGTAACACATGATGCCAATCAGGTTTTGTCCTCTAGAGTCAACTTGAGCAGAAAGCAGAAGTTATTTTACCGCATCGGTTTCTTTTCTCTGACAAAACTTGGTTTCTGATAAAATTGGTAATAAAGATACAGAATGAAAGATCAAACCACGAGAAGACAGAGGGCAAATAATGAGCTCTTTTAATTTCTAACCACATCAATACAAACGTTGAATTTGGGACATCAAACTGAAAGTATCAAAAGTCTGAGGAGAAAACGGAGAAAAAGGAGACCTCCAAAACTAAATAGCAAAGAGTGAAAGGACAAATGAAATGCTTCAGGATGGATGGATGGATGGATGGATGGAAGGTTTAATGAACGGATGAACCGATGGATGAACAAACCGATGGTTGAGTTGTTAGACTATCTGCTGACTCAGCGTCCTCCAGGCTGATCTGGAATCAGGGCGTCCATCTTTAGATGATAATCAACCCGTCCTCATGTGAGGACAGAAGCGTCTCGTCTCTGATCTCTGAAGTCACCTGTGACCTCCTGGGTTCACCCAGCAGCCTGACCTTTCACCCTGACATCATCAACCCGCCTGTCCTTCCTCTGCAGGTTGCTACACCTGCTGGTGTTTTCCCTGCTTCGCCTGCCAGACGGCCAAGGAGGCTGGAGAGTGTCTCTGTCTCCCCCTGCTGGACGCTTTCGGACTCATCCCGCCCATGGCCACGGCACTCCGGGCGTCCGTCCGCCACAGATACGGCATCGAGGTTTGTCAATTATATCTGTGACTTTTTGTTTGTCTAATCCAGTTAGTTTTAATTAGTTTTTAGAGTGTGTCTGCTAGTTTTTATTAAATATTGTTTGGATTCAGTTGAGTTTTTATTAGTTTTTTCATATTTTGTTTTTCTTTCATAAAGGTCAAAGTATTGTGATTAGGCATCAGCTGGGTAATGAATATCCAACAGACACCATTAAAACATTTTACTTAATTATTGTTGAAAAACAAACTGTTTTTTTCTCCCGCCATTTGCACTACGCCACCAGGTGGATTATGGGATGCCGTAAATTGCCCACAACAGACACAAAAATTTATTTCACATCAGTTCGAAATGCTAATAAACAGATTAATAAACACCAAACAACAAATATTAAATCTATAATTTCAGAATGAATTAATTAGTTTCATAAACTCATGAATTATTTGCCGTTTTTATTTATTCCAGGTGATGGAAATATTCTCCCAGTTTCAGTTTTTGTTATGTTCTTAGTTTTAGTTAACTATAGTGACCTTGAACTCATCCAACCTCTTTATTAGTTTGTTTATTTGTAGAAAAGAGTCAAAGTGTTCCCCAGACGGCGGCAGTGTTTATCTGACCTCAGATCAGTCTGAAACCTGTTCCAGCTCACATGTTGAACTCCTTTAAACTCTTTCTGCTGTGCGGATTTTACATTTTGTTCTCCCCAGGGAAGCGTTTGCAGCGACTGCGTGTATGCGAGCTTCTGCGGGCCCTGCACCTGGTGTCAGATATCCAGAGAGATTAAGACGAGACAAAACCCGGTGGTGTTTGTCAGCACGGCCATCTGATCAGAACTAATGGTCCGCTCCCTCATCAACAACCCGAGAAGCTGACGTCACAGCCGTGATCACAGAGACGGCACCCAAAGAGTTGCCACGCTTGATTGGATTAAGAGAGAGGGTTAGGGTTTCCAGAAACATCTGATTGAACATTGAGTAAAAAGGAACAAAGGATGGAAAATAGGGAAATATTTAACTATCAGTCATCCATCCACACATTTTTTTCTCTTGATTGTAGAAAATACTGATTTCTTCCACACATTTTCTTTTGTTTACCATTTTTATGTAATGGTTGAACAAATATGCATGTATACCTGGAAATATAAGGCCTATTCTATGTCTTTTAAGTTAAAAATATTCAATATGCAACTGAAACAGTTTATATTTCCTAATAAAGACTGGAAAAAAATAGTTATGTTTCCATCAAGGTTTATTATGCACACACTAATACTATGTCCAACCCTACTGACTTCCCCGAGTCATACCAACATGACATTGGCATTTCAATATCTTCCATCCAGGTTTCTAAGGTCCCTAAAATGCCGAAGGTGACAAACCCTCAACCATACCTCCAACTCTATAGACAACCCCCCAACCCTACCTCCAACCCCACAAACACTCAACCCTATAGACAAACCCCCCAACATTACCTCCAACTCTATAGACAACCCCCCAACCCTACCTCCAACCCTATAGACAAACCTCCAACCCTACCTCCAACTCTATAGACAACCCCCCAACCCTACCTCCAACCCTATAGACAAACCCCCCAACATTACCTCCAACTCTATAGACAACCCCCCAACCCTACCTCCAACCCTATAGACAAACCCCTAACCCTACCTCCTACCCTATAGACTCCCTTGAGTCATACCGACATGACATCAATCTCAGTAGCTTTGGACTTATCTTACATCCAGATTTCTGAGGTCCCCCAAATGCTGCCAACTGCTGAGGCTGATGTTAGGCTGTACTTAGTTTTTTGAGTGATGGTGCCAGAGACTTGTGGGAGTTCTGGTGTGTTTCACTTAACAGTAAACACCTGTGACCAAGTCACAGTTCATGCATGGCGTCTGAATCAGCTGTGTGAAGAGCGACATGCGAGCTGAACTGATCCAATTCATGATGCCGAACAATTAGAGGAAGGAAAAGCCTCTGAGCTGGCGAGTGTCTCCCAGGAGCTTTGCTCACATATCTGGGCTCGGTGTCAAACTTTGTGCAAGGTGTGGCGAAAATGGAAAGAGCCTCGTGAGGAAAACAGTAATGATTGTTTTTATTTGCAGGCCTTCCTTTGATTGAGTAGTCGCCATGGCAACAAATGTGTCCAAGTTCTTCAGTCTCCAGTACTTTGTTGAGACTTTAATGTGTGAAAATGTCTCATTGGACGACAAAAACTTCCTACAGAAGAAGAAATTGGTGATTAGAAGGAAGTTTAACAATGTTTACCTATTAAATTGTACATTTCATAAAATTAGAGATGCATCATAATAAAACAGTTCAATGAAATTAAAAGGTAGTTTTTGCAGTGCAGAGTTTTATTAGTTTGTTCTTGGTTTAATCTTAAAGTTGATGTGAAGGAATTTTATCAACTTTCTATTTTGGGAGTTGCGCCGCCTCTCCAGCAGAGGGCGGCGTCACAAATCAGCAGATTAGTTTCAACTTGTTGGGCCTTATCTGTGGATAAGATGAGATTTTAAACATATCCTCACGAAAAACAACAAAAAACACATCCTTTACAGTTGTTTTATAGATGCAGTGATATAAAAAAAATCTGTTTTATTTTTGCTTCTCTGACCCACATATTTCAGATAATGAAACCATTTTAAAATCAGATAAATATAACCAGGGTAAACACAACATGAAGTTTCAAAAGTAAGAATTTCAAATACTAAGTAAGAAAAAAAGCAATCTGGACACTTTTATTTTCACAATTGATTTTATTCAAGTCAAGTCAGAACAAAAACAGAAGAGTCAGATTAGGGGTGTCCAAAGTGTGGGTTGTGGGCCATTTGTGGCACTTGGAATGATTTTATGTGGCCTTCGACCTCGGTTCAGAAATGGTACAAATTTAGTTAATGGTGATGCACTTTAAAGAAATTAGAGTGAAACTTTCATAAATCAAAAAATGATGCAGACAAATGAATCTTTAATTAACCAGAATTTTTGTTTTTGTTTTGTTCATGTTCATTTTTATAAATCCAGAAATATTTAGAGGCACTTATGTAAATTAAATGTTTTCGTTTTTAGAGTTCTAATTGTTGGGAATATATCTATATTTATTTCTCTCCACTTAGAAATCAGACTGTAACATTTAATGAAAATATTTTGTATTTAGAGTATCTTTTTTACATACTTTTCTGCAGCCCAGTGTTGGATGGATGTAGCGATCCAAACATGAAACTGATTTTTAATGATGAAATTCATCCTTTAAGCCTGACTCATTGTTGAGAGGAGGAAGAGCTGCAGCCTTCAGAAGCAGCTCCCACTTTTTCTCTGAGCTGTGGCTATTTTTACTTCTTATGCAAAATGTCAGCTTTCTTCCTGCTCTGACTGTTTGTGGATTATTTTATGCCATCTAGATTTGATCTGAAACTTTGGATTCCACATGCACAAACTATCTATGCTGTTTCTGAAAAGTATTTGTTCCTACAGAGAATAAATAATGACGCCACTTAAAGTGAAAACTGAGTAGTTTATATATTTAGTGGAAGACTTGTAATAACTGGTTCCATTTATTTCAGTAACTTTTTTGAAAAAAAAAAAAGCTTTACTACACTATGCTTTTTATTTTTACTTGATTAATAAATTTTTTTTATAAAGCTATTCTTATTTGAGTAAAATTTCTGGATACACTAGAAAAACACAAAAACTTGCTAAAAGATTATTGTTATCAAGGCAGACTATTTAACTTATAAGACATTTTCCCATGTTATAAGTGAAATAACATGCTATTGGAACTAGAACTTTTTTCATCAATATTAAGGAATCATTGACTTAAAACAAGCTGCTATATTTTGCTGAAAATTTACTTATGTTAGTTTTGTCTTATTTCAAATGTTTTACACTGGAAAATAAACTATTTTTAGTCTTAAAAACACGTAGAAACTTTTGCTTGAGTACAAAACTGCTATTTTTCTCTAATTTTTGGTGGGGGGGCAGTTGGGGGGGTTGGATGTTTATTCCCATTTCCATCCACCAGAGGGCGCTCAGTACCAGTTCCTGCTGTAAGGGGGAAAAACCCTCCACTGAAACATCTGCTTACAAAACGGAACTGCATGACTAAAACTGATTACATTACACCACATTTTGACATTTCTAGTTACATTTTAAACTTTCAAACAGTAAATAACACCTACATGCTGACTATTTTCTTCATGGATGTTCTTTTTAAGCTGATTTAAATCAGTAGTTATATTTACTCAGATTCACTTATTTGGGGGAAAAAAAGTACTTTTAGGAGTATATTTACCAAGCTGTACTTTTTACTTTTACTAGAGTGATTTTATTATGTATTGCTGCTTTTAATTTAGTAAATGTTCTGACTTCTCTATCCACTGTAACTTCAATGAATGAAGAACAAACATGTTTTAACCAAAAATTCACCACACACCTGCAGATTTTATTAAAGTTCCATATTGATCTAGAAAAATGTTTCTTTTGCCCAATTTTGTTATCTATATGAATTATTTTCATTTTGGTTCCACATAAATTTATATTTGTATTGGTATGATTATGTAATTCTTAAATATTAAATAATTGTATCAATTACTCAGGACTTGAGTTGTCTTCAAATACTTTTTTACTGTTGAGTAATTTCTTGGCTACTTTTTTCTTTTATGTTGTACTAGTTCTCTTACTGACTACAATTTTCTATGCTTCCTTCACAGTAACTTGACATATCTGCATAAGTTTCATTTCTTAAAAAATCAGCATGGCTTTAATAATTCCTAAAATTACAGTAACTATGCATCCTAAACCTGTATGATGAAATATGTTATTGCTAGCTTCTCCTCAGGGTTAATAGTTAACCGTAATGTTGTAAAACCTTTACAGCAGCCACTGTTTTATGATCTGATCACCTTTGTCCCACTCTTGTTGTGGTTTGTGTAAATCCTCAGAGGGCAAGCGAGCGAGGGGAGGGAAAGGCTGCAGCTCGCTGATATGACTGAGCTGGGACTTGATCTAACGCCGTAATCACGAACGCCCGTGTTATTTTCCCTCCTCTGTATGACCTTGCTGCTTCCTCCTTCACTCTTTCCCTGCCACTCCCGTCTCTCTCACTCTCTGGCCATTTTCCAGCCTGGACTTTTCCTCCTGTCGACCTGAAATTCGGAAGGTTTTTGTTGTGTTCCAGAAGCATTGTTTGTGTGCAACCAAAAAGGATGTAAGAGTTGATTTGGATTCAGTGACCGGTTTGGAAAAATACAGAAATATAACCGTGCAGCAGGGCAGGCCAAATATTAGATAGGGTCTGGGGGCAGAACTTGATTTGAGGCCCCTCTTCCTTTTCAGAACATCTCTACCACTAAAATTGTCCCAGAATCTGGGAAAGGAGGTTAAGTTACATTTTCTGAGTTCCCTTTGATTAATGTTGCCTGAAAAACAATAAATTTTAGTCTACAGTCTAATTTTTCTTTATTTACCTTTGTTATCCCACTGCAATGTATTGTTTTCATCCTGTAAAGCACTTTGAACTGTCTTGTTGCTAAAATGTGCTAAACAAATAAACTTGCCTACTGTTCTTTTTGTGCTAAGTTCATGTACATCATGTTGCTAACCAATGCAGTTTTCATGATATGTGTTTGTGTCTTACCTTTAACCCAAAGACTGGACTTTGTTTCATTCAAGGTGTGTAAAAACTGAGTTGTGTGCAAATGGATTCAAACTGAACAGGCTGAGTGGGGAAATAACATGAAACAATGTTACATTTACAATGTAAATTAAATTTATTCACCAATTTTCAAAGTGAAATTGGTGAATAAATTCATTGTACTGCTATGTTCACATGAGTAATATTTGATGTTAAACATATCATGAACTCTGATGACTTCACCTTTAATCTACAAACTGGACTTTGCATTACAAACTGAGGTCATCTTTGTTCAAAAGCTCTGCTGTCTGCAAATAAGTATCAAATATTATCCTGGCTCACCAAGGACTGGCAGCACAAATTATACTCTGGGAATCAGGTTCAACAACAGTCAGGTGAGTTAATTAACAAACCCTTTATATGTATAAACAAACAGGACTAAAACTAAACTGAGTACTGATCAGTTATGGATCAATTATGCTTTAAAATGTACTATTTTCCATATTCACTGGTGTGCATATGTATATGTGTGCTGTGTTTCTTTATTGTCAATTTAAAAAATGTAACAATTACACAAATGTAAGAAGGAACCAGAATATTTTAAAAAATACACACACATACTGGTTTTTGACACTGTTTATGACCCATGAAAAGGAGGTGCATTATAGGCACATATGTGTTTATATAGTCTTAGTTAATAAATTAGGATAATTTTGAAAAGTTAATTTTTTGTATTAACTAAATTCACTAGAAATACATTATATAGATCAAGATTGTTCAAAGTGAGGTTTGCGGACCTTGCTTTTTTTGCGGCCCACCAGACAACAATTTAGGAATTAATTAAGTTAGGACAAAGCTACAACTTTAAAATGTAAATCACAAAGTGATAACTTTTTTCAAGCCTTTGGGTTTCTTTCTGTTGTCATGGTAACTAGGACCACATGTACTCATTGACATGTTCTAAAATTATACCATGGTGCATCTTAATATGCTTTTAATTGCTCTATTCAAACTTGGCTGAATACACCAAGTGTCTTCAAACAAAAACTGACCCAAATTTAGTTTTTACTGCTGAGAAATGACAAAATAGGTTTTCACTTCCTTCATACTAATCCATTTGAGTTACAGAGTAACAACAGTGCACCTATATGACTAAAGGCAGGTAACCTAGCCTTGTTCCAAGTGAAAGTAAACGAGATAACAGATAAGTTACTCAGTTTACAGCTGTTTTACCAGTTTTGGCTGTATGCAACTTCCCTCCTTTATGGGGATCTCAATAAAATACTTGTAATTTGATAGTTCTGATCTCACATACAAGATAGACAAACAAACGCTTGTCAAAACAATTCATATAAGTGAATTTTTAAATTTGTTTAATTAACACCCTTGGTTTGTTCATGTAAGCATTTTTCTACCTCATTTGTTAATTTGTTGTTTACTTGTCACTTACTCAGAGTGTCTGAAAAAAGACATGAGGAAAGGAAACAGAACTGCCCTGTAAACAGATTTCATAATAAGAGCATGAAAAACATCCAACAACTTGAATTCTTAACAGTCAAACTTCAACATAGAACACAACTTTATTCAAGTAAATTAGCACTTTAGAAATTATCTGGAAACATTTAATTGGGGGAAGTGCACTAAGCATTTTTAAAGTTTGCAAATAAGCTAAAATCTAAACAAGTAATTAGCTCAGCAATTAGCACATCAGTGGAAGTGTGTCCACCTCTACATATCATTAAAATATAATAGACCTATAGAACAAATGTGCTATTTGACTTTTAAGGTTAGCTAACAATCTTTTTTTTCATTTTGTGCCTTTTTTCCCCTCAGGAAATGTCCACCACTGCCTCTATATTCCTGGCACTTCTCTGCTTCCTGTTACCCCCATCCACTTCCTGTGGAGGCAGCAAGATCCTGGTGGTGCCTGTTGATGGCAGCCACTGGATCAACATGAAAATAATTCTTGAAGAGCTTCACTCCAGAGGCCATCAAATCACAGTTCTACGCTCTGCCAAGAGCTGGTACATCCCCAGTAACTCCTCCATTTATACCTCCATTAATGTCCCAATGTTGGAGGATGAGGCAGACAGAGACTTTTACATTACAATGATCCAGGATGTCATGTATCGACGAAGCTATCCCAATTTTATACGCACGTTTTATCAACAGTACTTGCTCACATCTGCCTTAGGAGATGGTCATATGATTCTGGCAAAGTCAGCTGGTAAAATTTTGGAGGATGTTGTGCTAATGAAGAGGTTATGGGATACTAAGTTTGACTTAGTATTGACAGACCCAGCACTTCCTGTAGGGGTGATTCTTGGTGGTTACCTAAAACTGCCAATGGTCTATAATGTCCGCTGGATCAATACAGGAGAAGGTCATCTAACTATCGCTCCCTCTCCTGTCTCCTATGTTCCTATATCTGGAAGTGAACTTCACGATCAAATGGATTTTCAGGAGAGAATTAAGAATATGTTGCATTATCTATACAGTGTTTATGAACAGTACTTCATCATTAACCCAGCCTACACTGATCTCTTCCAGAAATACTTCCCTCCTGGGACTGACTTGTTGTCTTTGGAGCTCTCAGCTGATATCTGGCTTTTCAGAGCAGATTTTGTCTTTGAGTTCCCTCGACCCACCATGCCCAATATGGTTTACGTAGGGGGGTTCCAGTGCAAGGAGGCCCAACCTCTGCCTGATGAGCTGGAGGCATTCATGAAGAGCTCTGGGGAACACGGGGTGGTGATCATGTCACTGGGAACATTGGTGTCAGCTCTGCCTCATGGGATCACAGAAGACATTGCTGCTGCTTTTGCTGAGCTCCCTCAGAAAGTGATTTGGCGTTTTGATGGTGAAAAACCTTCAACTTTGGGAAAAAACACCAAGTTGGTGAAATGGCTTCCCCAGAATGATCTCCTGGGACATCCTAAGACTAAAGTCTTCATAGCCCATGGAGGAACCAATGGCATGTATGAGGCCATCTACCATGGTGTTCCTGTTCTGGGTTTGCCCCTCCTATTTGATCAGTTTGACAACTTACTCCGACTGAAAGTTCGTGGAGCAGCTAGGGTGGTGGAGGTCCGATCACTGACCAAAGACAATTTCCTGGAGGCTCTAAAGGACATCCTGGAGAATCCGTCTTATCGTGAAAACAGCCAACGTCTCTCTCAGCTACACCGTGACCGACCAATGTCTGCAATGGACACAGCCATCTTCTGGATAGAGTACGTCATCAGGAATAAAGGAGCTGCCCACCTGCGGTCCACAGGTTTCGGTCTGCCTTGGTATTCCTACTTCTGCCTGGATGTAGCAGTCTTTGTATTGGCCATAACTGGAACCTCCATCTGGGGTTTCATCTTTGTCTGTAGGTTACTCTGCTGCAGGAAGTCTACCAAGAAGGCAAAAGCAGAATAACTCTGAGGAAAGTAGAGTAATTCACTAAAGAAGTAAAAACTTTATAGCAGCAATACATGTAGTTTAATACCGTCATGTTTTCTGAAAATATTTCTGCCTCATACACAAACTTGTTTTTAAATATTAAGACTCTTAACCTACAATTAAAATGTAATCAAGTCTCATTTTTGGACACAGACAAAGTCTTAAGACAGAAATAATTTAGCTGAAGATGTATGGAGAAAGCAAAGCACAAGTAATTACTTACCCATATGTATGTATGTGCAAGTTAATATCTGGGTATTACTTTTTATATGGGTATTACATGCTCGAGTTCCAGTTGGGTTGCTAGGTGACGCACTGGATTCAATCGGGGTTGCTAGGTAACGGCACAATGTGAACTAACAATCAGGAGGTTTTTGAAATGCTTATTTTATAGAGACCAAAAATTATAAACTTATTGCCAAAAAGCAGCTTGATGTTTTGTTAAGCACTTGGGTTGTCTTTGGAAGCTAGCATCCATAGTTTTTCTTGTCTCCACTTTTGGGGTTACAACCAATCAGTGCCAAGGAAATCAATGCTGCTCCTGAATTGGGTGCTTTGCAAATGCCCCCTACATCCTGTACGTTCCATTAACTTATTTTATCTGGACATCAGGACAGAAGACACAGAATAGCACATGGTGTTCAAAGGAGCCAACTTGCTTTTTTTTCTGCCTCATACTCAGCTGTTCCTCTAGAAATGAGGAGAGATAGCAACCAAAAATCAACATTTTTGAAACTTAACTTAAAGTCATAAAATAATGTCAAGCAAAAATATTTGTTCCAAATATATATATATAAACATAAATTCCCTTCTCACCCTCCGTGGGTGGTCTCTTTCATCCTCTGAGCTCGGGTCCTCTACCAGAGGCCTGGGAGCTTGAGGGTTCTGCGCAGTATCTTGGCTGTGCCTAGAACTGCACATTTCTGGACTGAGATGTCTGATGTTGTTCCTGGGATCTGTTTGAGCCACTGCTCCAGTTTGGGGGTGACTGCCCCGAGGGCCCCGATGACCACAGGTCTTCACCTTCATGGCCTTCTCCAGTTCCTCTCTGAGGCCCTGGTATTTCTCCAGTTTCTCCTTTTTCCTGATGTTGTAGTCACTTGGTATTGCTACATCCACCACAACGGCTTTCCTCTGTTCTTTATCCACCACCACAATGTCCGGTTGGTTCGCCATTACCAGTTTGTCTGTCTGGATCTGGAAGTCCCACAGGATCTTAGCTCAGTCATTCTCTACCACCTTTGGGGGTGTTCCCCACTTTGATCTCAGGGCTTCCAGTCCATATTCGGCACAGATGTTCCTGTCCCCTATGCCCGCCACTTGGTTATGTCGTTCCATGTACGCTTTCCCTGCCAGCATCTTGCACCCTGCTATGTGCTGGACTGTCTCAGAGGCCTCCTTGCACAACCTACACCTTGGGTCTTGTCTGGTGTGGTAGATCTGAGCCTCTATTGCTCTGGTATATATCAGTGATATAAAATAACCAGAGTACTTTAGAAAGGTTTATGGTATGTCACATAAACCTTTGCGATACCTTAATACAGGAGTGGGCAACTCCAGGCCTCGAGGGCCTGTCTACTGCAACTTTTAGATGTGTCTCTACTTCAACACACCTGAGTCAAATAATGAGGTCATTAGCAGGCCTCTGGAAAACTTGACTGCACTGAGGAGGTGATTCAGCTGCTGGATTCAAGTGTGTTGGACCAGGGAGACATCTAAGAGCTGCAGGACACTGGCCTTCGAGGACCAGGATTACCCACCCCTGCCTTAATCTATACATTGGACTTTGTCTTATGAGCTAGGAGCATCTGTGTGTAAAAGCTGGGATGATTGCCAGTAAAAGAACACTAGCTCCTTGACGACTGACAGCTCAAGCAAGACTTTTAGATCTGGTGAGCCGTTTCACAAACTTTTACCTTAAATTAAAACACCTACCACCTTTTCTCTTAACTTAAATGTAATATGTGTTCATTGTTGTCTTATTTTGTGGTAATCTTTGGTATACAAAACCTATTTTGGAAATATTTCTCCTCCATTAACAACCAGCAACTTTCAAGAAACCTAATTAATAATTGTGTTACGGATTTTGTGAATTATTGGAAGTTTGCTCAGCTTTGAATATATGTTTATTTATAATTAAAGATAATTGCTAACAGTGTGAAGGTTGTACAAACTAAATACATAATGTCAAATTAATTTTTGATTGTTTTATTTGCTTTTTCGGTTTCTTCAAAAAATCAAATGGTATAACACATTACCATAAATATCTTGGCTTTTGGTGCTTCTGAGCTGAGATCTCACAGACACATGGCCACTAATTCCCATTGTTTCTTGTGACATCTAGTGGGAAAAAAATGGCACAATCATAAGGAAGTATTCTAGTACATGGCTGCCTTATGTTGGAAAAACTTTTTTTTTCTTCCTCTGCAGAAAATGTCCAACTCTGTCTCTGTATTCCTGGCTGTCCTCTGTTTCCTGTTGCTCAGACCCTCTTACTGTAGAGGCAGTAAGATCCTGGTGGTGCCTGTTGATGGCAGCCACTGGATCAACATGAAGATAATCCTTGATGAGCTTCACTCTAAAGGCCATGAAATTACTGTTATGCACTCTGCCAAGAGCTGGTACATCCCTACTAACTCCTCCATATATACCTCCATTCATATTCCGACAGTTGGGGGAGACAGGAGTGTTTACAAAAAAATCCTGCTAGATGTTATGGTTCGTCGTAGCTATCCAACCTTCATACGCTCGTTTCACCAACAACAGTTGATCACAAATATGTTAGAGAACGCCCATGATATTTTGGCCAAATCTGCTGCTATAATTTTTGAGGACGAAGTGCTAATGAAGAAGTTAAAGGACACCAAGTTTGACCTCATGTTGACAGACCCTGCCTTCTCTTTAGGGGTTATTCTTGGTGGTTACCTCAAGTTGCCGATGGTTTTCAATGTCCGCTGGATCAATAATGGAGAGGGACATCAAACTATCGCTCCCACTCCTGTTTCCTATGCTCCTGTTTCTGGAAGTGAACTTCACGATCAAATGGATTTTCAGGAGAGGATAAAGAATATGTTGCATTATCTATATAGTGTTTATGAACAGTACTTCATCATTAATCCAGCCTACACTGATCTCTTCCAGAAATACTTCCCTCCTGGAACTGACTTGGTTTCTTTGGAGCTCTCAGCTGATATTTGGCTTTTCAGAGCAGATTTTATCTTTGAGTTCCCTCGACCCACCATGCCCAATATGGTTTACATAGGGGGGTTCCAGTGCAAGGAGGCCCAACCTCTGCCTGATGAGTTGGAGGCTTTCATGCAGAGCTCTGGGGAACATGGGGTGGTGGTCATGTCACTGGGAACAGTGGTGTCAGCTCTGCCTCATGGGATCACAGAAGCCATTGCTGCTGCTTTTGCTGAGCTCCCTCAGAAAGTGATTTGGCGACTTGAGAGTGAAAAACCTTCAACTTTGGGAAAAAACACCAAGCTGGTGAAATGGCTTCCCCAGAATGATCTCCTGGGACATCCTAAGACTAAAGTCTTCATAGCCCATGGAGGAACCAATGGCATGTATGAGGCCATCTACCATGGCGTTCCTGTTCTGGGTTTGCCCCTCCTATTTGATCAGTTTGACAACTTACTCCGACTGAAAGTTCGTGGAGCAGCTAGGGTGGTGGAGGTCCGATCACTGACCAAAGACAATTTCCTGGAGGCTCTAAAGGACATCTTGGAGAATCCGTCTTACCGTAAAAACATCCGTCTCTCTCAGCTACACCGTGACCGACCAATGTCTCCAATGGACACAGCCATCTTCTGGATAGAGTACGTCATCAGGAACAAAGGAGCCGCCCACCTGCAGTCCGCAGGTTTCGGCCTGCCTTGGTATTCCTACTTCTGCCTGGATGTAGCAGTCTTTCTTTTAGCCCTAACTGGAGGCATCATTTGTGGCTCTGTCATGGCCTGTAAGGCACTCTGCTGCAGGAAGTCTACCAAGAAGGCAAAAGCAAAATAACTATTTTTTCAGTAACAGTTGAATTTTGTTTTAGATACCGATAAGTAATGTATTGAGTGATGTTTTCTGCTCCATATTTTGTTTTGTTTTAAGAAAATAAAGCTCTTTACTGACAAACTCTAGTAAAATGTTTTTTTCTGAACAAATTCAGGTCAAAAAAACAATATTTTTAATTGTGGGTGATTTCTCGTTTAAACAGATATAATGTAACAATGCCTGAGAAAGCCTTGTTACCAGTAGCTAAGAGTAATAGTTTATTAATTAGACTCTGAAATTGAGTTGAAAAACCTGAATGTTTTTTTCTACATTACAAAAAAGACTTTGAATCCTGATAACATTTTTAACTGCCCTAACAGCAGTGATAATTGTTGTTAGCTTAACTCCAACATGTTAGCTCTTTTCTGATTATTCTTAATTTGACGCTGATTATTATACACCTAGATACAGATTTGCTTTTAACTTAACTAATTTCTTATTTGTTTAACTCTAATTAGCTGTTACCTTGGTTTAGATTTGCTACTAGTTTGACTCTGATTAGTTGTTAATGTGACCCTGTTTAGTTTGAGTTTAAAGATCTATTAGATTGAGTTTTATTAGTTTTTACTTTGACTCCAAATATAGTAGTTGCTAACTCCACCGCGGTTAACTTTTTGCTGGATTCACATTAGCTATTGACTTGAATCTGATCCCATTTAGCTTTTAGCTGATGCAGAATCCTTGTTCCTTTGAAACTGAAGTTATGGGACCACAATGGTGGGTCATATGACTGGCACCAATTTTTATTGTAAGGTACTTTTGCAATAACAAGCTTTGAGAGAGAGCATAGTTTTCAGCTAGAGGTAGAACAGCCATATGCTTTGGGTTCGCATTGTTCTTCATGAAAGTAATGGAAATATATTGCGTTTTGACACTGTCGTTTGCCCTTTATTTTAGTTAAGAAAACATATAATCAAACAGACAAACACCTTTAAAACAGGTCTTACAAAATAAAAATATTTTAGCTTGTGCTCATTATTTTACATGAATAACCATACAAAATGGAGTGATTAAAAATAACCTAAGACCCACTTACCAAACTGTGAATTATGGACAGCTGGAGAAAAACAAGCATCCTAAATGCATGTCGCCATGGTAAAGTTTTTAAGATGAACCTGGTTGGCTGAGGTCAGTCTCAAAGTATTACTGTGTTTGATAACAGCAGTAATCCTTTGAGACTGACCTTTAATCCATAAAATGGACTTTGATTGACAAGCTCTGGGTCTCTGCATGTAAAAACTGAGTTGAGTGTTTAACACAATGCTAGATCGTCGACTACAGGCAGCTCAAGTCAAACGTCTGGAATTGGATTTAATAACAATCAGGTTGTAACTTTGATTCATCTTTGCATGAAAAAACAAATGAATCTAGGTACCTTTGATACTGATCTTAGTGTAAAATAAATAGGTTTAGTCTTTTATTCTTGTTATTGCTACAGGTGTATACAGTCTCATCATGATTGCTATGTAATAGCTACAGATTGCAAAGTCCAGCAGATTTTTATGCAAATTATTCACACAAATATCTCTACGCATATTACAAACTGGTGACATAAATAACATTATTTTCAGGTTTTATATGGAGATCAGAAAATGCTTCACACTCAGCATTACTCAAAATATATTTCTCTATATTTTGCTGTGTAAAATCTCTTTCTTTTTCAGGCATTTTGTTGCCTGTTTTAATCTGGTCTTTCAAAGGGTCACTGCTCTACAGGTATTCTGGTTCATTCAACAAAATACCTAAATTATGGAGCAATATTGTTTTAGAGAGCAGTGAAATTATCCTGGGATTCCTTCCAAACAGTCACACTTGTTTAGTTTTTTTTTTTTTCATTTTAGCTTCTACATATTTTCTTTTTTTTTCTGACTATTGTTGCAACAAATTGTTCATTGTCCAACACCTGGTCTACATCCAAAGAGAGAATGGTAGAGCCAATGCAAAAGACAAACTTTTTGTAAAAACAAACCAAACTCAAAGCAATCAGGCAGTGGTAGATGCCTGATTGCACCAAACTGGTGGCCACTGGTCTATGCTAAGTGGGCACTGGAGGTTTTCAGTTACAGACTAAATCTGGAGATACTGGAACCAAAGAGAAGAAATGAAAAGAAGCTCGGCAGCTTGGTGCCTTGGTGTTGTGACAGAACCCCACTAAACCAGTTGTTGTAATTGCTTAACATAGTAGAGGCAGACGGGCCAGTTTTCAAAGGTACAGTAAGAACCAAGCCAACTGGACAATCATGATATAAAGGTTGCTGAGATGTAGCGAATGGGTATTGGTAATTTTCATATTGGTGTTGGAAGACTGTCAACTGTCTTAATTGTGTTTCACTTGTGAATAACATGTCTTTCTCATGGCAATCAGATTGTTTGGAGATGGTCTTATAAGTCTTCATAGATTGATTAGTTACAATTGCGTTACCATTGTGTTTAAACAAACCTGTATGCCACAGTGCAGCAATTCACTCCAACTACTGCTTTTAAAAAGGTAGTTACACCAGCTGATGATTAACTACATTCTTTTTTATCTTCCTGCAGAAAATGTCCAACTCTGTCTCTGTAATCCTGGCAGTCCTCTGCTTCCTGTTGCTCAGACCCTCTTACTGTGGAGGCAGCAAGATCCTGGTGGTGCCTGTTGATGGCAGCCACTGGATCAATATGAAGATAATCCTTGAAGAGCTTCACTCCAGGGGCCATGAAATTACCGTTCTAAGATCTGCCAAGAGCTGGTACATCCCCAGTAACTCCTCCATTTACACCTCCATTAATATCCCAATGTTGGAGGATGAGGCAGACAGAAGCTTTTACAATAAAATGCTGAAGGATGTCATGATTTGCCGCAGCTATCCCAGGTTTATAAGCACATTTTGCCAACAGCACTTGATTACGTCAATGTTAGGGAAGGGCCATGAGATTCTGGCCAGATCTGCTAACATAATATTAGACGACAACGTTTTAATGAAGATCTTACGGGATTCAAAGTTTGATCTCATGTTGACAGACCCAGCCCTTACCTTAGGGGTGATTCTGGGTAGTTACCTCAAGCTGCCAATGGTCTTTAATGTCCGCTGGATTAATACAGGGGAAGGTCATCTAACTATCGCTCCATCACCTGTCTCCTATGTTCCTATATCTGGAAGTGAACTTCACCATCAAATGGATTTTCAAGAGAGGACAAAGAATATGTTGCATTATCTATACAGTGTTTATGAACAGTACTTCATCATTAATCCAGCCTACACTGATCTCTTCCAGAAATACTTCCCTCCTGGAACTGACTTGGTGTCTTTGGAGCTCTCAGCTGATATTTGGCTTTTCAGAGCAGATTTTATCTTTGAGTTCCCTCGACCCACCATGCCCAATATGGTTTACGTAGGGGGGTTCCAGTGCAAGGAGGCCCAACCTCTGCCTGATGAGTTGGAGGCATTCATGCAGAGCTCTGGGGAACATGGGGTGGTGGTCATGTCTGTAGGGACAATTGTGTCAGCTCTGCCTCATGGGATCACAGAAGCCATTGCTGCTGCTTTTGCTGAGCTCCCTCAGAAAGTGATTTGGCGACTTGAGAGTGAAAAACCTTCAACTTTGGGAAAAAACACCAAGCTGGTGAAATGGCTTCCCCAGAATGATCTCCTGGGACATCCTAAGACCAAAGTCTTTATAGCCCATGGAGGAACCAATGGCATGTATGAGGCCATCTACCATGGTGTTCCTGTTCTGGGTTTGCCCCTCCTATTTGATCAGTTTGACAACTTACTCCGACTGAAAGTTCGTGGAGCAGCTAGGGTGGTGGAGGTCCGATCACTGACCAAAGACAATTTCCTGGAGGCTCTAAAGGACATCCTGGAGAATCCGTCTTACCGTGAAAACAGCCAACGTCTCTCTCAGCTACACCGTGACCGACCAATGTCTCCAATGGACACAGCCATCTTCTGGATAGAGTACGTCATCAGGAACAAAGGAGCCGCCCACCTGCAGTCCGCAGGTTTCGGCCTGCCTTGGTATTCCTACTTCTGCCTGGATGTAGCAGTCTTTGTACTGGCCATAACTGGAACCTCCATCTGGGGTTTCATCTTTGTCTGTAGGTTACTCTGCTGCAAGAGGTCCAGCAAGAAGATCAAACCAGAGTAATTCATCTAGAAATTACTTCCGTTTTTATGAATATACAATTTTGCTACAGGTTTCTGCTTGTAGCTAAACCAAAAACAACAAGCTGTGCAATATACCAACATTTCTGCCTCATATTCAGTGTTGCGTTAAGAGCATAAATCTCATCCAAACTGTATTTAAATGTTATTTCTGGACATATGAATTGAGAAAACTGAAGTGCTTTTGCAACTGATCTCTTGCTGAAACAAACATAAGTGTTTTTGCCATATTCTTATTTGTCAAATCTGAAATTTTAAATTCTAATTGCTTACAAAACATGTATTGCGGAAGATTTTCTGTCCACAACTAATTAAAGATGTTGAATTTAATACTTTTTTGAGCGTGGCAATTCTTTCACCCACATTACTTGATTCTTCAAGAGGTATTCTGAAGGTATTTCTTGTTCTCATCTATCATAGGAACATAAATTAATTCAAATTACAGTACGAACTACTGTCTCTTCTGTATTAGTAATTTTGTTACTGATTAACAAAAGAGATCAAGCCTCCTTTCCTGTTTACACACAGTGGACTGGCATTAAATGCATAGCCATAATTGTGTGCACCAATTTAAAACAGACATATGAGAACAGAGAGCAGTGAAAATGTCAGTAAATGCATAAAGATAAGCTATGTAATTAGAAGAAACACCATGTCAGCAGAAGCAACAAAATCTTTGTAGCTTACCTTTTGTACACATATTGGACTTTGTCCCACAAGCTCAGACTTGCTGGTTTGAAATGTGAAGCAAGTGTCGAATACAATCCTGCTGCCTGACGACGGGCAGCTCAAGGCAAACATCTGGAACTGGACTCATCAAGATTCAGGTTTGATTTTTCAGTTTACCTGAAGAAAACACAACTTCATATTCATTTTCACTTTTTATGTTAATCTGAGTGGATTAAATATGTTTGGATTCTGACTACTCTTTTGTTTTTTACATGGTTGCTAATGTATAATCAATATTTCATCATATTTAGAGTACAACAGATACACAAGCTGAAGACAAACATGAACATCAGAAGCTTATCAGCGCAGCGGAGTGAAAAATGTATTAGTAATGTTCATGTTTTATATGGAGTTCTGAAAGTGGATACAGTATTTTTTGTTGTTTTCCAAGAAAATTGGAAAATATTTGCTTCTAAACTCTACAAGCCTTTGGATTTTATGTAGAGATAAACGACTACAAAAGGAAAAGTCAAAGATATCAATAAAGTTGATGAAAGAAAATTTGTTTAGTTATTTTAATTCATCCAAACATTTTGGATGGTTTGTCTCAATGCCTGACAAATTCATATCAACATTTTCTTATTTTAGATCAAATAGAACTACTGGAATGATTTCTATCTGAAATTTTTTGATCAACCAGGGACATTTTTTTCCCTTCTTCTTAGTTTTTTATTTGAAAAGTTGGCATAAACTAAAACTATTCTGGCTTTATATAATTTTGGGAGCCCAGGTGATGAAGTCATCGCCCAGTCAGGTGATGACTCCTCACCTGACTGAGCGATGACTTGATGAGACTTTATAAGTGTGCATGTTTTGGCAGGGCCACACAGACAGGGCATGTCCTTTTACCAGGTTTTTTTTGTGTTGTTGTGGGAACTGACAGGCTGACGGGACAAGCCCTCTCTTCCTCACATCCTCCTGAGCATGTGAAGACAACGGCAGGGTTCAATTATTTTTCTTACATTCCTCTCGTAAGAGAACTGTCAACAGTCTTTAATGTTTCCTGAAACAAAATACTCTGTATTTTATGTAGATCTACATGGCTTAAAAAAAGACTTTTTGTTTTTCTTTACAGAAAATGTCCAAGGCGGTCTCTGTATTTCTGGCTGTCCTCTTCTGTCTGGTGCTCAGATCCTCTTACTGTAAAGGCAGTAAGATCCTGGTGCTGCCTCATGATTGGAGCCACTGGATCAACATGAAGGTTATCCTGGAAGAGCTTCACTCCAGGGGTCACGAAATCACCGTTTTGTACTCCACCAAAAGCTGGTTCATCCCCAATAACTCATCCATTTATACCTCCATTCATATTCCATCACTCTTGAATGACCTGGACCCAGACTTTTATGTGACAATGATGCAGGATGTTACTGGACTGTCGTGACCATCCTACTTTTATACGCTCATTTTGTCAACACAATTTGATTACATTGATGTTAAAACACAGCCATAAGAGTTTGGTGAGCTTGGCAAGTGAAGTTTTACAGGATAAAGTGTTAATAAAAAAGCTCAGGGATACCAAATTTGACCTCATGTTGACAGACCCTGCATTTCCAATGGGGGTTATTCTGGGTGGTTACCTCAAGCTGCCAATGGTCTTTAATGTCCGCTGGATTAACAATGGAGAGAGTCATCAATCCATAGCTCCATCTCCTGTCTCCTATGCCCCTGTATCAGGAAGTGAACTTCATGATCAGATGGATTTCCTAGAGAGGACAAAGAATATGTTGCATTATCTCTACAATCTTTATGAGTTGTACGTTGTCATTAAACCAACATACACAGATCTCTTCCACAAATACTTCCCTCCTGGAACTGACTTGGTTTCTTTGGAGCTCTCAGCTGATATTTGGCTTTTCAGAGCAGATTTTATCTTTGAGTTCCCTCGACCCACCATGCCCAATATGGTTTACATAGGGGGGTTCCAGTGCAAGGAGGCCCAACCTCTGCCTGATGAGTTGGAGGCTTTCATGCAGAGCTCTGGGGAACACGGGGTGGTGGTCATGTCACTGGGAACAGTGGTGTCAGCTCTGCCTCATGGGATCACAGAAGACATTGCTGCTGCTTTTGCTGAGCTCCCTCAGAAAGTGATTTGGCGTTTTGACGGTGAAAAACCTTCAACTTTGGGAAAAAACACCAAGTTGGTGAAATGGCTTCCCCAGAATGATCTCCTGGGACATCCTAAGACTAAAGTCTTCATAGCCCATGGAGGAACCAATGGCATGTATGAGGCCATCTACCATGGCGTTCCTGTTCTGGGTTTGCCCCTCCTATTTGATCAGTTTGACAACTTACTCCGAATGAAAGTTCGTGGTGCAGCTAGGGTGGTGGAGGTCCGATCACTGACCAAAGACAATTTCCTGGAGGCTCTAAAGGACATCCTGGAGAATCCGTCTTACCGTGAAAACAGCCAACGTCTCTCTAAGCTACACCGTGACCGACCAATGTCTTCAATGGACACATCCATCTTCTGGATAGAGTACGTCATTAGGAATAAAGGAGCTTCCCACCTGCAGTCCGCAGGTTTCAGCCTGCCTTGGTATTCCTACTTCTGCATGGATGTAGCAGTCTTTGTATTGGCCATAACTGGAACCTCCATCTGGGGTTTCATCTTTGTCTGTAGGTTACTCTACTGCAAAAAGTCTAGCAAGACGATCAAACCAGAGTAATTAGTCAAAAAAATTACTTTGTTTTAATAAATATACAATGTTACTACAGGGTTCTGCATTTAGCTGAACCAAAAACAATAAGCTATGCAATACACCAACGTTTCTGCCTCATTTTCAATATTCCGTGAAGACCATAAAACTCATCTAAACTGTATTTAAATGTTATTTCTGGATGTATTGAATTGAGAAAACTGAAGTGCTTTTTGCAACAAATCTGTTTCTGAGACAAATAAAAATAAATGTTTTCTTCCTATTTTTTTTAATCTTTACATTGTAATGATTACAAAAAATGTATTGCTGAACATTTTCTGTCCACAACTGATTAAAGATGTTGACTTTAATACTTTATTGAGCGTGACAATACTTTCATCCACTTCACTTAACCCTTCAACTTTTTACTGGTTGCAAATATATAGCCATAAATGTGTGCAACAGTTCAAAATAGACATATCAGAACATAGAGTTGTGAAAATGACAGTAATTGCATGCAGTAAGGTCACAAGGCAGCATTTAAGCATAACTTTTGAGCTTTTTTTGTGTCCATGAGTAAGCACAGCGGTAAGCACTTTGTAATGAACATGGCAGTCAGTGAATACAGATTTAGTGATGAACTCAGTATGTCGTAACACAGACATAATGAGTTCTTGTTGTTTGATCTTAAAAGAAAGGCATGTCCAGGAAAAATGGATATTGGATCCCCTAAATTATGTTAGAAAAAATAAAAATGACATTTGTTTGGTATTTAAGAGATAAAATGAAAAAGAAAACATCCAATGACCCTACCTGCATCCAAACTATTGACTAAACCCATACAGATGTGCTACGTAATTAAAACAAACAGCCTTTCAGCACAAGCACAAATTTTTTGTAACTTACCTTTAGTACATGTATTGGACTTTGTCCCGCATGCTCAGGCTCGCTGAGTGAAACATGAGGCCAGTGTAAAATACAATCCCGCTTCCAGACAATGGACAGCTCAAGGCAAACATCTGGAATAGGACTCATCAAGATTCAGGTTTGATTTGTCAGTTTACATTATTCTGAAAAACTCAACGCCATTCTGTTCATTTTCTAACTGCTTTTCAAGTTCAGCTAAGGGGATTAAATATGTTTGTCTTCTGGCATTTTCTTTTACATCTCTGTTAAAGCATAATCGATACTTCATCGTATTTGGAGTATAACAGAGACCATTACTCTAAAAGCAACATAAAAAGCCATATTGCAGTTTGCAAATGTAAATGCAATCCATAATTTTTTGAGTGATATTCTTTGTTCTTATGAGACCAAACGTAATTGAGTATAAAAACCATTGCTAAATTTGTCAGGAAAAAACAGAGAGGAAGCTTGCCAAATATCTTGCCTGCATTGACCCAAAATACATTCTTCCAGAAGAATGAGGAAAATTTATCCTGGAAATTCTTGAAATTTAAAACATGAAAAGTTTAGTAAAATTTGCAGAGACTTAGATGAAACAGTTTTTTTTAACCCTCTGGGGGACTTAAGAGACCGTGTCATTAGACCCTGCAAGAGTGAGCAATCTGGCTGGATCATACTGACCCAGTGAAGGCTTTTCTTTGGGTATCATTTTGCAAACTGTCAGTGAGATGGGAAAATTGTCCCGCTTCCCCACTGTCTGATGGGGATGTAAATAAACTTCATAAGTAATACCCTCTTTCAAAATTCATCTGCATGACATAAACAAAAAAACTTTTTTTTTTCCTTTACAGAAAATGTCCAAGGCGGTCTCTGTATTCCTGGCAGTCCTCTGCTGTCTGGTGCTCAGATCCTCTTACTGTAAAGACAGTAAGATCCTGGTGTTGCCTGTTGATGGCAGCCACTGGATCAACATGAAGGTTATCCTGGAAGAGCTTCACTCCAGGGGTCACAAAATCACCGTATTGCACTCTGCCAACAGCTGGTACATCACCAATAACCCTTCTATTTACACCTCGATTCATGTTCCATCAGTCTTTGATGAGATAGACAGGGACTTTTATGTGACAATGATGCAGGATGTCATGGATTGCCGTGTCTATCCTACTTTTATTCGCTCATTTTGTCAACACAAATTGATTACAACGCTGTTAAAAGACATGCATAAGATCTCGGCGATAATGACTAATAATAT